TCTCCTTCGGCGACAACCTCGCCGAGACGTTGGCCTTCGATCGCGGGCGAGCCCGAGATCGAGAGCTGCTCGGGCTCACGCGCCGCGCGGCCGCGTGCCAGCTCGCCGCCGGCATCATTTGGCATCGGCGCTACGTGGAGACCGCCCGGAATCCTTCCGACGGCGACTCCAGGCTGGCTCATCATGGGTGGCTTCGACCGGGACAGCGGCTCGCGGGCCGCGGGCTGCGGGCGCTGCCCTCGGCCGCCGCCGCGGGCCCGGCATGGGCGCCGACGCCCGCCGCCCCGCCAGAGGACGTCGGGCGGAGCTCCCCTCGAGAGCCCTCGAGCTGCGACGAGTCGCCTCGGGCCTCCGCCGCGGAGTCGGAGCCCCGGACGCCGCCGCGGTCCACTCGGCGCCAGCGACGACGGGCGGCGGCGGCCGCGGCCGCCGGCTGCACGGCGCCGCGGCTGGCCGATGGCCTCACCAGCGGGCGCCCAGCCTTCCTGGAGATCTTCTCGGGCTGCGGCCGAGCGACGGCCGCCGCGTCGGAGGCCGGTCTTCGGGTGGCCACGCCAATCGACGTGGCCCATGGCCCGCATCATGATGTGCTGGACCGTCGCGCGGCAAGCGAGGTCCTCAGCAGGCTGTCGAAAGGCCTGGTCTGGTGCGTGCTGCTGGGCACACCGTGCACGGCCTGGACTCCAGCAAGATCGACTGGGACGACTACACCGAGTTCATGGCGCTGTGTGCTCTTCACCGTCCGGGTGTTGCAGCTCTGCATCAAGAACGACATCCACGTGCTCCTCGAGAACCCTGCCCGCTCAAGGATCTTCGAGGTCCCTCGAGTGGCGAGGCTGCTCCGACGTTTGTCGGCGCGAAGATGCCTCTTCGACATGTGCGCCTTCGGCGCACCCTGGCAGAAGCCGACCGTCATCTACTCCACCCTGCCCAACAGCCACCTCCTGGACCGCAGCTGCCCCTGTCCCTCGGCGCCCCACGTTCGCCTGCAGGGCAAGGTGCAGCTCGCGGGGCAGCCTGCCGCATGGAGGACCGCCTTCGCGGCGGCGTACCCTCCTGAGCTGGTGCGTGCTGTGGCGGGGCTGCTGCGGGATGCCGCTCCGCGGAGCTCCCTCCGCTGGCCGCGCGAACCGCGCAGCGACGTCGGCTGGGAGCGACGCCTGGCAGCCGCGGTCGGGCAGGATGGCCGTGCCGCCCGACCAGTGGTGCTCCCGCCGATCCCCCGGTGCCCACTCGGGTGGGAGGGGGCAGTCGGCTTCTGGGACGGGAAGCCCTGGCGTGCCGAGGCCGCCGATGCCGATGCCCATCGCCGGGCTCGCCGCACGGCGGCGCGAGCGGCGGCGCCTGGCCGCCCGCCGCGCTGAGGCGCATGGCGCCAGCGACGGGGTGTGTCGGCGTGCGTCGGTGCGGCCCCAGACGGCGCGCGCCTATGCCGCAGCCCACGCCGAGCTGGCGGAGTGGGCCGCGCGCCAGGGGTGCGCTCCAGTGACTCCCAATGACTGGGACGTGGTGCTCGACAAGTACCTGGACGGCCTTTTCTTGAATGGCGACAACCCGTCGAGCGGCCGCTACGCCATCTACGGGTCGGCCTACGTCCCGGGCCTGCCGCCGCGCGCCAACGCGACCTTCCCCTTGGCAAAGGCTGCCTTGGCAGGTTTTCTGCGGGCGGTCCCAGAACGTCCACGAGACTCGCTCAGCGACGAGTTCCTCACGCTGGCCTCCGCCGACTGGTTCTACGACAAGGGCCGCTGGGGCTCTGAGGGGCCTGAGGCAGCAGCGGCGCCCTGGGTCGCCTTCGACTGCTACCTCAGGCCGAGCGAGGTGCTGGCGCTGACGGCCGCAGATGTCACGCTGCCAAGGCCGGGCTGCCCCGACACCATCGTCACGGTGGCCCCCGCGACGGGAGCGCTGCCCGCCAAGAACCGGGTGTTCGACGCCTCCACCGTCGCGGGGGCCCACAACCGGGGCTGGGTGAGTGAGCTTCTGAGGGCCCTTTGCCGCGTCCGGCCGACAGGGCCTCTCTTCTAGGTTTCGCTTGGAAAGTGGGAGGAGATGTGCAGGAAATTTCGGGCACAGCATTTCTCTCCCTCACTCCCTCTGTCCCCCCACTCGTGGCGTCATGCTGGCCCATCTCACGACAGCTGGTATTTCAAAGTTTCAGCGAGCACTATCCAGCAGCGTGGTCGTTGGCTCTCGGCCAATTCAGTCAAGCGTTACTCCAAGCCTGCAGGCATGTTGCGCAACAGACAGTTGCTCTCCGCAGCACAGATAGCTCGAGCAAAGCAGTTAACGCCTCGGCTCGGCAATGAGATCCTGGAGTTTTTCAAAGGTCCCACCCGAACCCGCCCTCCGGTAAACCGATCCAAGAAGGTTTCTGGAAGTTTGGGCACAAGGTCGCTGGTCAAGAAACGGCCAGCTTCCCTTCTTCAATAACCGGGGTTGGACCCCCCAGGATCATGCTTGTGCCGTGGGAAATGAATGTGTTGCGATGTCTTTAGCCTTTCTCAGGGCCTCCGGCCGCTCCGCCCCCCTCCTCGTCGCCGCGGGATCCTGGGGTCTCCAGGCGTGCTGGCGTGGTGGGGCTGTCTTGGCGCTCTGCGTAAGACTAGGCGGCAGTTGGCAGTCTACGATTGATGGTGTGCCATATTATCGTTGTCACGATCGTAGCCGGCCCCATCTCAAGTTTTTGGCTCCACCTCCTCCTCTCCTCCGTCCTCTTTCTCCTTTCTGTACATTTGTATCTCGCCGAGCCGATGCAGGGCACAAGGTCGCTGGTCAAGAAACGGCCAGCTTCCCTTTTTCAATAACCGGGGTTGGACCCCCCAGGATCATGCTTGTGCCGTGGGAAATGAATGTGTTGCGATGTCTTTAGCCTTTCTCAGGGCCTACGCCCGCTCCGCCCCCCTCCTCGTCGCCGCGGGATCCTGGGGTCTCCAGGCGTGCTGGCGTGGTGGGGCTGTCTTGGCGCTCTGCGTAAGACCAGGCGGCAGTTGGCAGTCTACGATATATGTATATATATACATACATATATATATATATATATATATATATATGTATACATGGTTTTGTTGGGCCCTCCCTTCCCCGAAGGGAGGAGGGCTTTTGGAGGAGGGTTGGCAGGACTCGCTGGGCCGCCTCAGCCCCCAAGGGCTGGGGATTCGGGGCCGCGGCGGCCCGTGGCAAGGAGAGCCCCATCGGTTCCCTCCTTTGCCCTCCTCCTGCTCCTCCACCTCCTGCTCTTCCTCCTCCTCCTCTTCCTCCTCCTCGTCCTCCTCATCCCTTGGTGAGCACGATGGCTGTATAAACATCTGGAGGTCCGCGCGGACTGCTCCTTGATCGGCGCTGGTACTCCGCATGATAACAGTGTGTGTGTGGGGGTGGGGGGGGTCACAGCCTTCCCAGACGAGCAGTGTCAGACCCCCCCCAGACCCGCCACGAGAGGGCGGCCCCTGTGCCCCTCACCCCCGAACCCATCAAGATAGCTCATATCGGATCCCCCCACTTGTGACCCCGGCTTTGTTATGAAGTCCAGAGTGCCTTCCCCTCATTTGTGACCCCCCCGCTCGGCTGTGACCCCCCCGCCCCTAATTGTGACCCTCCCCCGCTCGAATGTGAAGTCCAGGGGGCCCTCCCCGCGCTCCTGGCGGTGCTTCCGCTCGCGCTGCCCTCGGCGCGCCCCCCCGCGCGCCCGGGGAAGGGCGCGGCGAGCGGGCCGCGAGCGTCGACCCACGAGGTGCGCGCGGCTCCGCGGAGGGCGTGTGCTTACGCAGGTTTTGGGCGCTGCGTAATGGGTCGGGGGTGGACAGAACCCCCAACAGTGACACGTCGATTAGTGAATTGTCCGTTTTCGGTTCTCGAGAGGGCGCCGTGGCTGTTATTTTCCAGGCTCGCGCCCGCCAGGTTTAGGCCTCAGGTCGTTTTCACTAAACCACGTTGTGCTAAAGGGGGGTCTGCCCATCCCCGAATGGGGGGGGTCGCAACAAACGGTACCCTAACGAGCGGGGGGGTCCGGAGGGGCCCGAAAGGGGCACGAGAGGGGACCGTTTCTGACCCCCCCATGGATGACCCACTCATGAAGCCACGCCCAAAGTTTTGTCGGAGGTTGATTGACCTCCTACCCTGACACGTCGATTCGCGAGTTGGCCTTTTTCGGGCCGCGAGGGGGCGTCGCGGCCAGCGTTTTTGCGGGCCCAGGTCCGTCGGTTTCGGTTCTAGGCCGTTTTCACGAAAGGGTGGTTTATTGAAGGGAGGTTCGTCCACCGCCCGTTTTGGTGGTGCTGCTTTTCTGAGGGTAGCAGCAGCAGGAGGATTTACCGTTCACCAAACCACCCCAACCCAAGCCGACGGTTCCAATTTGCCCTCCATTCCCAGTTTGGGGGCGTCGGTGAGCATCGAAAGAACATGCATGGAACCCGTCCCTCCCATCCGAAATTTGGGTCTTCGGATTGTGTCGAGGTGGTCTGGTAGGTAGTCAAGGATCTGGTGGAGGAGGAGGAGGAGGAGGAGGAGAAGGAGGAGGAGGAGGAGGAGGAGGAGGAGGAGGAGGAGGAGGAGGAGGAGAAGGAGGAGGAGGAGGAGGAGGAGGAGAACGGGTGAGGTGGAGGGTAGTATGGTTTCGGACTGCGCACCGATAGCCCCCTCAGGCAGCCCCGGCTGGCCTCATCGGGTCCCCCGGGTAGCCTGGGGCGGTCTCAACACCCAACCGTGGGCCGAGGAGCGCCCTCGGAGCGCCGCTGGAGGCGGCGCCGGGGTGTTGAGACCGCCGCGGCCTGTTGAGGCCTGCCAGATCTACCTGGGTGGGCTGTCTCTGCCCAACCCGAAGCCTTACAGGCGGCGTGTGGAGGAGGAGGAGGAGGAGGAGGAGGAGGAGGAGGAGGAGGAGGAGGAGGAGGCGGAGGCGGAGGCGGAGGAGGAGGAGGAGGAGGAGGAGAGGGAGGCGGTCGAGCAGGAGGAGGTGCAGGAGCCGGGGGGGCCCTCCTGCTGGCGATGAGCCTCCCGAGGACGGCAGGGGCATGTACGTCCCGGCCCTCGAGGCGCTGAACGAGGTCGCCTTCGCCCCTGAGATGCTGCCCCACCGGATCGAGAAAGAGCGCAAGGCGGTGCTGGCAGAGATGCAGCAGGCGTCCAGGGAGGATGATCTCTTGTCTGATTGTCATGCAGGAGGGAAGAAACACACGGACACAATGAATCGTCGATTCCCCAGAAAATATGGGAAAAGATAGGAAGTGGGGGGGAAGGCAAAAACCGAGAAAACATGGGAAACTATGGGGAACATGTTTTGTGTGTGTATTTATTTGTTGTGTCCTGGGGCCCCTTCAGTCATGGCGGCGCGGCGCCTCTGCTTCCGCCCCGGGCACGCCAGGGAGGGGAGCCCAGCGCCGATCCCAGAAATCCGCGCGCAGCTCCGACAGTTCATGCGAGCACTCCTCGGCGGCGCCGCGCGCCAGGGATGGGGGGCCCAGTGCTGATCCAGGACGTCCGCGCCGAGCTCCGACAGTTTATGTTTTTACACCTTTTTGCGCCTCCATTCTGTCTGAGCGCCAGAGGAGAAGGCGTGTCAGAGGAGGAACGGGCTCCGATCCCGAGATCCTCTCCAGAGAGCACTCCAGAAGAGGCCCGTGGATCAGCGGGTCCTCGGCATCGTCCTGCTCCTTTGGTGGATCTCCTGGGGGGGGCGTTCCTCCCTCTGTCTCCGCGCCCGGGGGGGGGGGCGCTGCTGGGCCCGGGACCCTCCCTTTCATTCTTCCGGACCTTCCGCCCTAACCTTACACCCTTTTTTGCAGATATGGTTTGTGAGGGTTTCCGTGGGGCCACGCAGAGTGTCCAAGAGTTTCGATGAATTCTTCCGCGCCGTCCGCGGAGGTCGGAAGAAACGAAAGGTGGGGGCGGAGGTGAGACTGACCCGCGGCGAGGAGCCACCAGTCTCGAGCACGAGGCTGAGAGTTCTCTGGGGCCGGCGTCGCGAGCATAAGCAAGACGTCGGAGGGCTGGATTGAGACATCTTTTCCACCCGCCTCTTTTCAGGGACAACGTCGGGGCGTCGGGGGGGGATGAGCTCAGGGGGGGATGCATCGACCCCTGATCACCCATAAATTTCCGACGGGGGGCTATAGGCTATAGCCCACCCCGGCCAGGACCGTGGGGCTTCGCAATCAAGGGCCCGTGCCCGACTTGTCGGTGACGTGTCGCGGAGCCCAGGCCGATGCTTCCCCCCCGAACTGGTCCCCTTCCCCCCCCGAGCTGGTCCCTCCCTGATTTCAAGTCGGGCCTGTCCCTCTACAGGAGGCATACATTCAAAATAGTTTAACAGTAGTCTGGGGACGCTTTTTTTCTCACTATTTTTGACCATTCGGGATTATTTGTTTTGTGTTTGTTGTTTCGTCCAACATCCGCTTGTAGGGGGACACGCCCGACCTAACCCTCATTCTCGTCCCCCGGGCTTTGTGCTGCACTGGTTGAGGATCCCAGTCGTTCTTGATGGGGTTGAGAGAAAACAAACAAAAAAAACCTGATTCTCGCTCCCCCTCGCCTGGCTCGAGCGGGTCTCACTTGGGAGGCGCTGCTCCCTCCTCTGCGGCGGCCGGGGTTGGCCGCCCCCGAGAGCCCCGACGGGGCCCGCGGCCCGCGGCGAGAGGCCACCCATCCCGAGCGCGAGGCCAGGAGCCCCTCGGGGGCGGGCGTCGCGAAAACGAGCACGCCGTCGGAGGGGTTGGCTCTTAGTGGGCCTTGGAAACGACAGGGCCGTTTTTCTACTGGTCCTGTTTTGCCGTTGTTTTGCCGCTTCCGACGCCGTTTTTTTACCGGTTCCGTCGCCGTTCTCTTGCGGGTTCCCGCTCCGGTTCCAATCCTGGAGCCGTTTTTGTTGCCGTTTCCGGTCGCAGGGACATTTTTTCGGAAACGTGAAAAAACGGCCCTGACGTTTCCGGGGCCCACTAATAAGGGGGTCAAGCATTGCCCCCCCCTCCCCTCGCTTGGTGCATTCGGGATGGGCTATTTCCTGGGCTGTTTCTTGTCTGCGGGAGGGGCCTTTTTTGAAAGGGGCCCTAACCCTAACAGGGTTGTACTTTCTTACAATCCCGGCTCCGCGGTAGTTATACGTAAGGGTGTTGAAGCATGACGCTCCATCCCAGCGGCTTTTTGGCCACTGACACAAACTCGAGATACAGCGGGCCAAACGCCCACTTCGAAACAGGGGTTTCTCGGGGCGGAGGAGGAGGAGGAGGAGGAGGAGGAGGAGCCAGCTTGAGCCCTGCAAGGTTAACGACATGGAGTACCGCATAGAGACGTGGACGCTCTCGGGCCTGCACGAGACGAACAAGCTGGGCTCGCAGTTCCCGATCGGAAAGGAGGAGCAGATCAAGGCCTGGCAGCAGAGCGACCTGAGGGCATTCCACCAGAAGTGGTACTACCCTGGGAACGCAACGCTGTATGTCGTGGGGGACATCAAGGACCCAGGTATTCCATGTCTTGATCTGTTCAACACGGGTTCCCTGGCAATGCAGACCCTTTCCTCAGGGCCTGCCTCTCATCCTGAATCGTTGTTTGACGCTCCGGTGGCCAGCTGAGGGCCCCCAGAGGCCAGAACTTGCGAAACACCTCCCGTCGCAGTTTTTTGGTGAGGCGTCAGGATGTCTGCACGAACGAAATGGGCATGGAAAGAATGGGTACAACGCCCAACAGCGGATCTGGTTCATTTTGAGCAGGACTCGCTGTCCACGCCGCCGCGGCCTGTGTTCATTCGAGGCAGAAGGCCGCCTGCCCAACAGCGGCCGCTGTTGGTTTGGGACAACATTTGTGGTTGGGCATTGTACCCATTCTTTCCGTGCCCATTTCGGGCGTCCAAAGGATGCTAGGGGATCGGGCGTTGACTGGAGAGCCCCTGGCCCAAGGTGCCCCCCAGCCTCGGGACCACTCCGGAGGTCCCCCGCCCGTGTCCCGTGCCATCGGCGGGGGCCTCGCGGGGCCGCCGTTGGGGCCCCTTGGCATTCCATGCGGCGCCTTGGGCCAGGATCGCCCCCTCCTCCTCCTCCTCCTTCTCCTCCTCCTGCTCCTCCTCCTCCTCCTCCTGCTCCCTCTCTCCCTCCTGCTCCTCCTCCTCCTCCTCCTCCTCCTGCTCCTTCTCCTCCTCCTCCTGCTCCTCCTCCTCCTCCTTCTCCTTCTCCTCCTGCTCCTCCTTCTCCCCCTCCTCCTCCTGCTCCTCCTCCTCCTGCTCCTCCTCCTTATCCTTCTCCTCTTCCTCATCCCCTCCCCAAGCCCGACCCCCCCAGGAGGGGGATGCATCGGTATGTCCGATTCCTCCTCCTCCTTCTCCTCCTCCTCCTCCTGCTCCTCCTCCTCCTGCTTCTCCTTCTCATCCTTCTCCTTTTCCTCATCCCCTCTCCAAGCCCGACTCCCCCCAGGAGGGGGATGCATCGGTATCTCCGATTCCAGGCCGATGCTCCCCCCTGAGTTGGTCCCCCCGATCGTTGCCCCTCAGCAACGCGAAGTCTGGTTGGAGCAGATCAGGTTGGCTAGGGGTGTGTTTTGAATCGAATTCTGGCATTCTTCGTTTGCACACCATTCACTCCCCTCTCCGCCGTCATTTCGAGCACCAGTGGGCCGAATAGGCGTGCAATTGAGTCAGCGATTGCGTGAGGTCAGAGTTCTTTTCGGGCGTCGGAGTCTACACTCGAGCAACACAGCCCCCGGGTCACCCGCGGGGATGCGACGACAGTCGCCCTTCGCTCCGCTATGTGTGCTGGAGCGGCTGTCCTTCTCCAGGGGAGCGGCGCGAGAGCGCGGTGGCGCGAGGATGATCGCGCGCTGCGCATCGTGGGGCGCTGTGTGCGAAATTCGGTGGCCCAGAGTCGGAGCCAAAGTCAGGGGCAACGATAGGGGGGGATAGGCACAGGGGTGGATGCATCGACCCCCAGTTGCCCACTGATCGCCGAGAGGAGCCCTATAGCCCCAACCTGCCTAGGAAGGTGCGGATTCACGATCGGAGGCCTATCGCCTACCTATCGGCGATGTGTCGCCGATTCCATGTCGACGCATCCCCCCCTACGCCAGTCCCCCCATATCGTTGCCCCTCACAGAGCTGGTGGGTATCCAACTGGACTTGGCCTCCTCGCGGGCGACGGTCCGTCCGGCTGGGGCAAGTCCCGTTGGAGCCATGGTGGCTCTGTCTCGTGGGCCTCTAGCTTGGCTTGGCCTCCGATGGCACCGCCCTAGAGGAAGACGACATGCTCAAAGGCATCAAGCAGGTGTTCTCCGCCACGCCTGCTCAGCACGACCCCACCGTGGCCGTGACCGAACCCATCTGGGGCGAGGCTTCGTCGGACGCCCGCTCCCTGTTCCGGCGTCGGATCGTTAGGGAGCGGCCGCAGCAGCTGCACAATTTCTCCGTCCCGATGATAGGCATCGAAGACAAGCATGCAACACAAGCGTACACTTTTGGAGGTCCGCGCGGACCTCCGAAGGAATGTGAGCTCGTGCCTTTGTTGATCCTTGTCTTCCGAGGCACGGACGACGTGTACACCGATGCCGCCGCCTTCGACGTGGCGAAGGGCGAGCTTCCCTGGCACGGCCCGATGCTGATCTTCCGCAACGAGCTCATGGAGGGCATCCAGGTGAGCGGCGCAGAGCAATTGGGTCCAATTGCGGAGGCACTCGCGCGTACGCTTCCCGCGTGAGATCGCGCGTACAGTCATCGGCCTGACCTAAGGAACGATAAATAAGGAACGAAGCCCCTTTTTATCCCAAGGAATAACGCATAAGGAAATATAACCAATAAAGAACGCATAAGGAACTGTAAACAACGCATGTAAACCTAAGGAACGACCGAGCCCCTTTTGAAAAGTAAGTGTTCCTTATTCAAGCCGCTCACTGTAAGCTCTCGCTCCACCACGCGGTGTGCCACGCTGGCGGCCCGCATAAGCAATCGCGTGAGGTCGCCACGTCGTCGTGTGTAAGACACGTTTCTTTCCGTCGCTCAGGTGAACTTTTACGCCAAGGCGCCGGTGCGGCCGCTCCGGACGCTGGAAGACATTCGCCACCTCCTCGCGGTGCGCATCATTATTGGCGTGCTGCAGTTCCGGACAGCAGGGTTTTGCCGAAGAAGGGGATGCATGAGTTGCATTAGACCTTGCGGTCGGAGCGAAACAAGTGGCGCCCCGCGCAGAAAATTTGGATCGACGCTGTGCACCCCTGGCGTCGCCTCGTGCTCCCCCCCTGGCGCGCCAGGGAGGGACGCCCAGCGCCGATCCAAGAACTCCGCGCGGAGCTCCGAGAGGTTGTGATTATGGTTCGCGTTTGCTGGCCATAGCAACGTGCACTGAACTAGGGGCTACGTGTGATGGGGGGAAGAAGAGGACGCCAGCCTCCTCAGAGAATCGCCTGCGGGTTTCGTTGGCCAGATCACCCGCAGAGGCGCGAAGATGATCGCGCTTCGCGCTTCGCGCGTATGGACTGGGGAGTCCTTCTGTCTGCTCGGGGGTGGACAGGACCCCCACCCTGACGCGTCGCTCAGTGAAGTGTCCGTCTTCGGCTCGAGATGGGCGCCGCGGCCGTCCCTCTCCAGGCCCGCGCCCGCCGGGTTTGGGCCCGAGGCCGTCTTCACGAAACCGCGTTTTGCCAGAGGGGGTTCTTCAGGAGGGAAAAAACACACAGACACAATTCATCGTCGATTCCCCAGAAAATGTAAGAAAATATGGGAAGTGGAAGACAGAAACCCTGAAAATATGAGAAAATATGGGAAATCCTTTTTATTTGTGTGTATTTACTTGTGAACGAGCGTGTTCTACCGCTGCTGGCGGAAAACCGGGGGGGGTTCACTACCGGTTCGAATCCCTCCCCCCCCCAGTTCATCATGAAAAGGGGGGGGGTCACTACCGGTTCGAACCCCCCCCCCCCTCGAAAACCGGGGGGGGTCACTACCGGTTCGAACCCCCCCCATCCCCCCTCCTCGAAAACCGAGGGGGGGTGCGGACAGTGGTGGGGGCGGTGGTGGAGGGGACAGTGGTGAGGGGACAGCAGGACAGTGGTGGGGACAGTGGGACCGTGGTGGGGACTGTAGTGGTGGGGACAGTGGTGAGGACAATGGTGCGAACAGTGGGGACAGTGGACAGTGGTGGGGACGGTGGTGGTGGGGACTGGTGTGGGGACAGGGGGAGGTGGAACGTGGGACAGTCGAGAGTACAGTGGTGGTGGGGACAGTGGTGAAGGCGGTGGCGAGGGCGGCGGTGGGACAATGGGACAGAGGTACAGTGGGGACAGTGGTGGGGACAGTGGGGACACTGGTGGGAACAGTGGGACAGCTCAGTGGGACAGCGGAGGAGTCAGTGGGACAGTGGGGACAGTGGGGATAGTCGGGCAGTGGTTGGGGCCGTGGAGAAAGTGGGGAGAGTGGAACCGTGGTGGGAACAGTGGTGGGGACAGTGGGGACAGTGCGACAGTGGTGGGAGCACTGGTGGGGACAGTAGGGACGGTGGTGGAACCAGTGGGGACAGTGGTGGTGAGGACAGTGGTGCTGGGAACAACAGTGGGGGATGTGGCGCGGACGGGTGGGGAGTGGTAGTGACCCCCCTTCCGGTTTTCTAGGGGGGGGGGGGAGGGGGGGGGGGGTCGAGTAGTGGCCCCCCCGGTTTCCGAGGGGAGGGGGGGGGGAGGGGTTTAGGGGAGGGGGGGGGGTGCCTGGAGAGGGGAGGGGGGGGTTCCAGGGGGGGGGGATTTTCGGAGGGAGGAGGGGACCCCCGGGTTATGGAGGAAGAGGGGGGCAATTTTCTACAATAAAGCGGCGGTGGATCACGCTCTCTCTTATTTGTGTGTCCCAAGGCCCCTTCAGTTTTGTCCATCCCCGATCTGCCCGCCTCGGTTCTGGGGGCGCCGCCCAGAGGCGTGCCCGCGCCCTCGCCGGCGGCCTCGGCCGCCGCGGGCCGCGGGCCGCCAGGGCGCGCAGAGGCCTCCCCGCCGCCGGGGGGCCGAGAAGAGGCCTTGGCATCGCTCGGACGTGTGCATTTTTTCTCGGCGAGGACCATCGAGGACCATTCTGGACCATCGAGCAAAAAAAGCACGCACGAAACCGAAAAATGCACGGGAATTGGACGTCCGAGCGACGGCAAGAGGCGGGGTCGCAGGCTCGCGCCGCCTCGCCGCCGCGGCGGCGGGGCGGCTCGCTGCGGAGCGCCCGTGCGTCGCGGGCCGCGCTGGCCGCTGTGGCGCCGGGCGGGGCGCGAGGCTGGGTGGCCTCGGCCTTGGTGGGCCCTGGAAACGACAGTGCCGTTTTTCTCTCCGGTTCCGTTCTGCCGCTGTCTTGCCGCTGCCGACGCCGTGTTTTTCGCCAGTTCCGTCGCCGTTCTTTTACGGGTTTTCCCGCTCCAGCTCCAATCCTGGAGCCGTTTTTGTTGCCGTTTCCATTTTCAAGGGACGTTATTTCGGAAACGGTGAAAAAACTGCCCTGTCGTTTCCGGGGCGCACTGAGGCCGCGGCTTGTCCTGGGCGGTTCGGTGCCGATGAGTGCAGCAGGCGGTGACGAGCCGGAGGGCGTCGAGCAACACAGATCCTGGCCAGTCCCGTGCCAGGCCCAGCACGGGCCCGGCCAGTCTCATGCAGGGCCCAGCGCGACCACCGAGATTTGCCCTGACCTTCCAGGAGGGCTAAAACATAGCACGCGACTTAAAAACCTATCCCAGAGCTATTATATGTCTTGGTTTTAGGCTGTTTCGTTTCGTTTTTCAGGTTTTTAGGCCTCCCGTGCTAAAAAATATATCTCTGGAAGGTCAGGGTGGGGCCGCATCGGCTGGGGAGGCTGATCCTGATCTCGGCGGCGGGATTCAATATGCAGACACCCCAGGGCACCTGAGCGGTGCCACCCAACCCAAGGTTGCAGGTCGGCCTCTGTCGATGAAGGTGGCCCCACGGATAATTAGTTATGTCAGTGTGTGTGTGTGTGTTTTGTGTGTGTGTGTTGTGTGTGTGCGTGTGTTGTGTGTGTGTGTGTGCGTGTGTGTGTGTGTGTGTGTGTTTGTGTGTGTGTGTGTGTGTTGACCTCTCAGTTGTCGCCCAGACCCGCGCTGCGTCCTGTGCTTCAGGGTTCGTGAGGATCTTAGGATGCAGCTCCTGGGAGGGTACTTCAGTGTCGGCGCTGGTTTATCCGTGGTCAAAAACCGATCCAATCTGGGCCGCTGAATCTCGTTTAATTCTCACTAAGTCTGGCTCAATCCTGGGCTGAATCTGGGCTCATCCTTTGTAAGGGCCCCTGGCGCAGTAGCCTTTGAGCCCTTGAACCGTTGTCGCGAAGGCCTCCTAGAAGTTGCCGCCGAAAGGATCGTGTCCCGCTACAACTTCCCTGCGTCTTATGGCCTCCCCTGGGATCCAACGATCAAAACACATTGAAACAGCATGGAAACTTGCAACAGGAAGCCTAGGCCAGATCGATCGGTGATGGTGTTTGAGCCCGAATCTGGAAGAAAACGCATTGTGTGAATAAATGGCAGCGCCTGGGTCTTAGGGTCGAAGCCCGTGAGGATCGTGTCCCGCTTCAATTCCAACCACGCCCCCGTGCAGATAGACCACTCCGACTCCTTCCGCGAGGGCTGCGCCGTGACCTCCATCACCGTCAACGCGGACCCCCGCGACTGGCGCAACGCTCTCTCCTGCGTGGTGCAGGAGGTTAGGGCCATCTGCGACTACGGCATTACCGACGGGGAGTTGAAGCGCTACATGGAGGATTCATTTGTTGTCTCTCTCTCTCTCGTTCTCTCTCGCTCTCTCTCTCTCTCTTCCTCTCTCGTTCTCTCGTTTACATTCACCGGCTTCTCTGGAGGCCTCTTGAGGACGCGCGCCCGATTATAGCCGTTGCAGGGTCGTTCTTCTCGGGTCATCCTGTTGCCGTTGGCGCTTCGCGATTCCTTGCCTCCATTCGCGTCGTGGAAGTCGTTCGCGAGAGCCTCTTTGGGCCGTCTGTCGGACCTGTCGTGATGCTCCAGGAATGTCTCACCACCCACCCAATCACCCCAACACGACCCGAAAGCCCGAATTTGCCCTCCAGTCCCAGTAGGTGGGGCGCCAGGGAGCATTGAAAAGCACACGCGGAACCCGTAGCCCCCCAACCCGAAGTTTTGGGTGTTCGGGTTAGGTTGGGGTTGTCTGATAGGTAGTCAATGTCGAATCCTTGTGATGAGCCGCTCTGATCGTGCTGCTGCTGCTGCTGCTCTCGGTCTGGCCACATGTATGTAGGACTTCCCTCTCGCAGGGGGACGCGTTCCGAGCTGGGCCGAGCTTATCCTGCTTCTCCTGGTCGCCCACAGCCACACCCACAGCACCACCCACGCCACTACCGCCGGGCTGTGGTGTAAGATCGAGGTCGGTTCGGGGAGGGTGTCCTAATGTTCGAAAGTGCGCCAGTGGATCTCCCTGAATACACGAAAGGGGGGGGGTCCAGAACCCCCCCCCCCCTCTCCCTCTTCAAGGGGGGGGGGGTCCGGACCCCCCCCCTCCCTCCCTTGGGGGAGGGGGGGGGTCCCGAACCCCCCCCCCCTCCCCTTGAAGGGAGGGGGGGGGGGTCCGGAACCAGCTCCCCCCCATCCCCCCCTTGGCGTTGGAAAGACGGGGAGGGTCGGACCCCCCCCCCCGTGTAGGGAGTACGGAGTTGGGAGTAGGGAGTGGTGAGTAGTGAGTAGTGAGTAGTGAGTTAGTGAGTAGTGAGTCGTGAGCGAGTAGGGAGTAGAGAAGGGAGTAGTGAGTAGTGAATAGTGACTCGTGTGTGCTGATAAGTGAGTAGTGAGTGGCGAGTAGTGAGTAGTGAGTAGTGAGTAGCGAGTAGCGAGTAGTGAGTACTGAGGAAGGAATAGGGAGTAATGAGCAGTGGGTACTGAGTTAGTGCGTACTGGAGAGTGGGTGGCGAGTAGTGATTAGTTAGTAGTGAGTAGTGGGGAGTGCGTAGTGCGTAGTGAATAGTGAGTAGTGAGTAGTGAGTAGTGAGTAGTGGGTAGTGGTTAGCGAGTAGTGATTAGTTAGTAGTGAGTAGTGAGTATTGAGTAGTACGTAGTGCGTAGTGAGTAGTGATGAATAGAGACACGTGGGTAGTGGCAGTGGGTAGTGAGTAGTGAATAGCGAGTAGGGAGTAGCGAGTAGTGACTAGTGAGGAGCGAGTAGGGCGTAATGAGTAGTGAGTAGTGAGTAAAGAGTAGTCAGTAGTTAATAGTGGGTAGTGATTAGTGAGTAACGAGTAGGGAGTAGCGAGTAGCGAGTAGTGAGTAACGAGTAGGGAGCAGGGAGTAGGGAGCTGTGAGCAGTGAGTAGTAAGAAGTGGGTAGCGAATAGTGGGTAGTGAGTAGCGATTGGTGAGTCGTGGGTAGTGGGTAGTGGGTAGTGAGTAGTGACTAGTGAGTGTGACTAGTGACTAGAGACTATGTAGTGACTAGTGAGTAGCGACTAGTATGTAGTGAGTAGTGAATAGTGAGTAGCGGGGAGTGAGTAGTGAGCGTTGAGTAGCGAGTATGGGAGTAGCGAGTAGTGAGTACTGAGTACTGTGTAGTCAGTATTGTGTAGGGGGTAGTGAGTAGCGAGTAGCGAGTAGTGGGTAGTGAGTAGTGATCTAGTGGACAATCAGTAGTTAGTAGTGAGCAGTGAGTAGTGGAAAGTGGGTAGTGAGGAGTGAGTAGTGAGTAGTGAGTAGTCAGTAGGGAGTAGTCAGTAGTGCTTAGTGAGTATTGAGTAGTGGGTAGTGAGGAGTGAGTAGTGAGTAGTGAGTAGGGAGGGGGGTGTAGTGAGTAGAGAGTAGTGAGTAGCGAGTAGTGGGTGGTGGGTAGTGAGTAGTGGATAGTGAGTAGTGAACCGTGAGTAGTGAGTATGGGGTAGTGAGAAGTGAGTAGCGAATAGCGAGTAGTCAGTAGTGGGTAGTGAGTAATGAGTAGTGAGTACTCTTTGGGGCTGGGGTTAGTGGTTGGGGTTAGGATTAGGGGTTTGGGTTAGGGTGAGGACTAGGGGTAGGGGTGGCGGAGGTCGGGTTCTGGAGTCAGGGGGCGGCGTGGCGAAAGGGCGGGAGGGGGGGGTCGGACCCCCCTCCCAGGGGGGGGGGGTCCCCGACGACGGATCGGGGAAATGGGGGTTCCCCGACGACGGATCGGGGAAGGGGGGGAGGGGGGGGGTCCCCGACGACGGATCGGGCAAGGGGGGGGGGGAGGGGGGTTCCTACCCCCCCCCCTTTGGGGAGATCCAGCGGCGCACCCTCCTAATGTTTTTCGTGTTTGTTGGATGTCCTTGTGTAGCGTGGGCGAGGGTGCCCTCGGATGTTCTTCTCTGTGGCTGGCGGAGGGTCCCATGTTCCTGAATGATGCTCTTCTATCCTAGGTCCGTCCGTGCCCCCGCATCCCTCGCAGGGTAGCCAGCCGTGTATGCACGTGAACGGGCATATGAACGTGTAAGGTGGCTTGGCCTTGTTTATGACGTTCTGTTTTGGCAGTGGCTTGCACGAGTGGGAATCGGAACGCAATTCTTCACGCTTTGCGTATCCCCGCCGGCCGTTTGGGTGAGCCTGTCGCTCTAGTTCGTCTCTGACGGTGCTGTTTGCCTGACCCACACCGAGCGATCGACCTTTGCATGTTTATGGTCGCACTTCCGCGCCATTTTGGTTGCGCTTACTTGCTGGTCGCCACTGGCATTCCCAACGCCACCAGTTTTGGGAGTATCTGTTCTGGCTCTCCTCCTGAGTGGTTGCCCGCTCGCTCGCTTTGCTTGCCTTTCTTCTCCTGCTGCCTAGTGGCGGCCCGACTAGTGTTCGGACGGCTCTCGGCCCGCCTCGCGAGCCCGTGGACCAGAAAGTCTCCCCTCCAGCTTGCCGTTCCCTCCCCGCAAGGGGTCGACGGACACCTGGCCCCCCCCATCGCTGCCCCAATGCCTCCGAGCCGTGCCTCTTGCCACCTGGGCGAGTGCCGCTCGCATTTCGGTTTCCCCGCCCTTCGCCTGCCCTCCCCGGCCCTCTGGCCGTTCCCGCCCCGCACGGGGTCGACGGACACTTGGTCCTCCCGCGTCGCGCTGTTCATCTGATGCAGAATGTGCTGTGCGTCCCGCCACCTGGGCGGCGCGTGCCGCTCGCACCCGCCCTTTCGGCTCCGCGTTTCTTGCCGCCCTTCGCCGGCTCGCACTTCCCCTGCTGCCCCTCGACACCACCCGGTGTTTGGGTGTCGGGCGATCCGGATCTCTCCGTTGAGCGCCCGCATGTCCAGTCTTTCCTCCGTGTCGGGGGTCGCCGTCCTACGTCCGCCTCCCCGGCTTTTGCCTCGGCGTGCTGTTCGTTTTGTTGGCCGTCTTCTGCATCTGGGACGTGATTGGTTACTTGATTTCCCACCTGGTGTTGCACACCGCCAGGATGTTTCTCTTGGCGTTCGCGCTCCTCTGAGCGGTAGTGAGGCTCGCCTCCTGTTTGTCTCCCCCCTGCTCGTTCTTATCCTCTTTTTGCCCTTCTTCCTCCCTTGCGCTAATTTAGGCCGCTGCTTATTCGCAGTGCCCTGGGCGCCGCCCGACTTGCCTTCGCCGCGGTCGCGGTTAACAAAAATCCCCACCAGCCTTTGGCGCAATTGCATCGTAGCTTGCTTGCTGCGACCTTGACGGCGCCCAGCGTCTTCCGGTGCGCTCGCGATGAACAGGAGTCCCTACCAGCCCATTCAGAACCCCTGCCCATGAGGGCCGACGGGAAAAGGGACGAAGAGACACATCTAGGGAAACAAAGCAAGCAAGCAGGGTTAACCGAGAGATCTCTGGGAGCAAGGGGTGGTCTTTGAAGGCCTTTTCGGGCCATTCCTGGGGGCCGCGTGGGGGGCGGATGAGGACGTGGACGAGGAGGACGAGGATTCGGATGAGGACGACGCGGACGAGGTTTCATGGAACCATCTAGAGGTATTCTTGCGGTTGCTGCAGCTGCTGCTGGTGGTCTGTAGGAATGTTTGGGGCCCTTTTTGGTTGGAACCCTCCTAGGATCATCTTGGAGGCCATCGTTTACAGGATGGGGTGGGTCCCCAATTCAGTTCCCCCTTCGGGAGCCCGCGAACCGAGTCTACGGCTCTCTTGGAGCGGTCTTGGGCGCTCTTGGAGCGGTCCTGGGGCCGTTTGAAACATCTTGGGAGCCATCTTGAGCCAGCTCGGGCTATCTGAGCCATCCTGGAGGTCATCTCTGGCTCTCCGAGGCCGCTCGGGGGCTTCTTGGGGTCGTTTTGGGGCCCTCGTGGGATCCTCGTGGGACCTTCTTGGAGCCCTTAGGGCTCTCTGGGGGTCTTGGGGTCCTCTTGGGGCTCTTTTGGGGCTCTCTTGGTGTTTTCTTGGGGCCCTCTTGGGAGCCATGGAGCGCCTTTGGGGGCCGTCTTGGGGACCATCGATCAAAGAAGGAGGGGTCCTAGATTTGCCCCCCTCTCCGGGGCTATCAACATCGCCTCTTGGGGCCCTCTTCGGCCCTCTTGGGGGCGCTCTTGGAGCGATCTTGGGGGCTCGTGGGGCCGTCTTGGGGCCCTCTTGGACCCCTCTTGGAGCTTCTTGGGCCATCTTGAGGCCATGTTGAGGCCTCAAAAACCCACCGGAAACGAAACGGCGAGAAGGCACAAATCATCGATTTGCCTCATGTGTTTGATTGATATTAGGCTCTTGGAGGGGCCCTGAGGGGTCTCCAAGAGCACCCAGAATTGTCTTGTGGCCCTCTTGGGGCGTCTTTGAGGCGTGTCGGAAGCTGTCTTGAGCCATGTTGGGCTATCTTGAGCGATCTTGGAGGCCATCGTGGGCTCTCTGTGGCCCTCTTGGAGCCATCTTGTGCGAAAAAGGACCCTCTGACACATCGCGGGGCGCCCCGTCCAGGTCCAGGGGAGGGGGTCGGGGGAGGGGTAAACCCATCCCCGAAGGGGAAGAAGGGATTATGGAAGAGGAATGAAAGACATCGCTAGACCACCTGTCGCCCACAGGGCTCGTTGGATTGCATTGGGACGCGCTCGACGAATCCGCTCGAGATTTGTACAGTTCGACGAGTTCACACGAGAGCGCCAGCCGGTCACATGTTACGACTTTCTGGGACCCCATGAATCCTTGGGGTGCTTCTCAGGTTCCAGATTTTGGCGAAGGTTTTTCCCAGTCTCAGACAGGCCTATGCTGAAGGCACATCGATCCGCACTGTGCCAACCACTTCCAAGCTCGTTCCAGATCGCTCTGGCACGGCCGCGGCGCCCGAAGCATCCTCCGAGCCCTCTTAGCTTTTCAGAGCTCAGAGATCCTAGATGCATCCCGCTCCGAGTCATCCGTGCTGGATTTTTTTTTCAATTTGCGGGCGCCCGAGCATCCTCCAGGCCCTCTAGCTTTCAGAGCTCAGAGATCCTAGATGTATTCCGCTCTGAATCATCTGTGCCGGATTTGTGCTCCTCCTCCTCCTCCTCCTCCTCCTCCTCCTCTTGTATCCCGCTCCGAATCATCCGTGCTGGCTTTGTCTTTTTTTCAATGTGGTTCTGCCCTCCGGAGCAGCCCGCGCACGCCGCCTGGACAGGGTGCTCCCAGGGCCCAGGGGCTCCTCTCCGAAGTGGTGCGGAGAGCCGGGCATCCTCCGATCAGTCCCCCTCCCTCTCCCCCTTGTCCTCCTCCTCCTCCTAAAATGTTGTTCGATCCTGAGCCCCAGAGTTTCCGACCCCCTTTCCTTGGAGGTAGTTTTTGTTCGTCCCGGATCCGTTTTTCCGATGGTCCCAGGGCCCGATGAAGAGCCCCCCGCGGCCGAAGTGAGGATATAAAGCGCCGCGAATGAACAGAAACAGATCGTCGGGGTCAAGAGACACCCGGAGGAGAGGTGGAGGAGCGAGAAGCGAGGAGCGAAGGAGGAGGAGGAGGAGGAGGAGGAGGAGGGAGGAGGAGAGAGGAGGAGGAGGAGGAGGAGGAGGGGGAGGAGGAGGAGGAGGAAGAGGAGGAGGAGGAGGAGGAGGAGGAGGAGGAGGAGGAGCAGGAGTAGGAGCAGGAGCAGGAGCAGGAGCAGAAATAGGAGCAGGAGGAGGAGGGGAGGGCTGCATCTGGAGGATCTTGTAGCCGAGGAGGAGGAGGAGGAGGAGGAGGAGGACGAGGGGGAGGGATGAGGTCGAGGGAGGAGGAAGCCAGGGATGAAGGTGAGGAGGACGTGGGCCTCTCTTGGGCAGCCCCCGAACACGAGCGGGCGGACGAGTATCCGAAGGGAACAACACACAGACACTAGTAATCGTCGATTCCCCAGGAAATAATGGAACATATGCGACGTTGGGTGGGCGGAGACGAACATCCAGAACATATGAAAACATTTGAGGGATCCTGGCAGTTATGTCTATTTATGTGTGTGCGTGTGTCCCTGCCCTCCACCTCCACCTTCTATACCGACCTCCGCGGAATGTGCGGAAGAACTCATCGAAATTCGTCGAGGCCTCACGTATTTCAAGGACGCCCTCATAGATCAGATCGAAAAGAAGGGGCGGAAGGTTAGGGCGGAAGGTCCTGAAGAATGAGGAGGAGGACGTGGGAGGGAGGACGAACATCTAGAATCTATTGAAAATACGGGGGATCTCTGGAGGAGGAGGAGGAGGCCCAGGAGGAGGAGGAGGAGGGGGAGGAGCAGGAGGAGAAGGAGGAGGAGGAGGAGGAGGAGGAGGAGGAGGAGGAGGAGTGTTCATATATCTGTGTGTCCCTGGGCCCCCTCCCGAGAGAGAGGAGGAGGAGCCGGCGGCTCGGGAGAGAGGAGGCGCACCGGTTCTCGCCCTGCAGAGCCTCCGCGGGCCTAGTCTCGGCGCCCGGGCCCCTGGAGGTTCGGCCTGCTCGTCCGGGGCGAGGCGGAAGAAGGGGAGGAGGAGGAGGAGGAGGAGGAGGAGGAGGAGGAGGAGGAGGAGGAGGAGGAGGAGGAGGAGGAGGAGGAGGAGGAGGAGGAGGAGGCGGAGGAGGAGGAGGAGGAGGAGGCGGAGGAGGAGGAGGAGGAGGAGGAGGCGGAGGAGGAGGAGGAGGAGGAGGAGAAGCGCTTCACTCTCCCCGCCGTGCGGTTCTTCCCCAGCGCCCGGTCAGTCCGAGCGCCGGATTTTGCAGGATCCTGCAGGGCCAGGGGTGCACTGACCGGGGCTTGGGTGCAGGATCCTGAAGTGCCTGACTGATCCTGGATCGGATTGACCCGGGTCAGCAGGTCCCCGAGACAGAGAGGAGGACACCGAGGAGCTCAGGGGAGGAACAGGTACCGATACCGTTATTCTGCACCCGTTTGATATTTCGTCTGGGCCTACTGGAAGGCCCTCGTCGCCACCGCTGGATTCGCCTCGAGATTCTGATCAGAACGCACCCCTGGAGTTGGCCGTGGAGTAGCGGATTGGGTATCTTATGGATAACCCAGGAGCAGCAGGATGAGGAAATGAAGGACGAGGACGATGAGGGCGAGAAGGAGGAGGAGGAGGAGGAAGAGGAGGATAAGGAGGAGTAATTAGGTGGAGGAGGAGGAAGAGGAGGCGTTGGAGGCGTAGGATGGGGATGCGGAGGAGGAGGAGGAGGAGGAGGAGGCGGAGACGGAGGAGGAGGAGGAGGAGGGCGAGGGCGCGGAGAGCGGCAGGAGGACGTGTAGGTCGATTAGGGGGATGCGGAGAAAGTAGGAACTGAGGATGAAGCGGAATCTGATGGTGGTGGTGATGGTGCTGGTGATGATGCTCACACGTGTTCATGGTGAGCATGATGCTTCGAGTGACTGTAATGCTGGTGGCTATGACTTCCAATGATGGTGATAGTGTACTGAGGATGACGACGGTACGACGAGGACGACTACGATGGCGATGACGTTGATGTTGATGACGATGATGATGCTGCTGCTGACGATGATGATGATGATGCTTATGCTGTTGATTATGATAATGATGGTGATGACGGTGGTGATGATGATGGTGATGATGATGACGATGATGATGATTATGATGCTGATGGTGATACTGATAATGATGATGATGCTACTGATAATGATGATGCTGATGCTGATGCTGATAGTGATGATGCTGTTGATGTCGATGATGGTGATGCCGATGATGCTGATGGCGATGACGGTGATGATAATGACGACGATGGTGATGGTGATGATGATGGTGGTGACGATGGTCAGGATGACATTTAGTATGCTGGTGATGATGATTACGGTACTGACGTTGAAGCTGATGATGATGATGATGATGACGATGTTGTTGATTATGTTAATAATGTCGATGCTGGTAATGGTGATGCAGCTAGTGATGGAGAGTGCGATGGCGATGTTGATGCTTCTGCTGATGGTGATGATGCGGATGCAGATTCTGCTGATGTAGACGATTATGCTGAATATGACGATGACGATACTGGCACGCCTGCTGCTGCTGCTGCTGCTGACGTTGTTCTGACGCTGATGACCGTGTTGATGCTGATGATGATGATGATGATGATGATGATGATGATGATGATGATGATGATGATTCTTATTATGATGGTGTTGATGGTGGTGATGATGATGCTGCTGACGATACTGATGAGGATGATGATGATGCTGATGCTGATGATGATGCTGCTGATGCGGATGCTGATGATGATGATGATGATGATGATGATGATAGTGATGATGATGATGATGATGATGATGATGATGATGATGATGATGATGATGATGATGATGATGATGATGATGGTAATGCTGATGCCGCTGATGATGCTGATGTTGGTGATGCTGATGCTGCTGATGATGTTGGTCATGATGATAGTGCTGGTGCTCCCGAGGATTCTGCTGATGATGAGGGGAAGCCGCACCGGAGGGGGGAAATAAGAACGACACGTGGCTGAGAGGAGGTCGAGAAGGAAAGCATGAGGAGGAGGAGCAGGATGAAGAGGAGGAGGAGGCGAATGAGAAGGAGGAGGATGACCAGAGTAAGCCCAGCGTGCATCAAGCATGTAATAGAAAGGCCCCCCCTCACAAGTTCGTTCAGGCATTTTCGTAGCCATTTTGGCGCAAACCATTTTTTTGCTCAAGTTTCTAGCATCCGCCTCCCACACATCGGGCGACGTCCACCAGCATGGCCGCGGGAGGCGGCGAGATCGCCGTCAAGGTCGTCCTCTACTATTGGCCTGCCTTCGGCCGAGCGGGCGCACTGTTCCGCATTCTTGAGGAGAGGGGCGTTCCTTACGAGCACAAGTCCTCGAAGAAGGAAATGGCTGCTAAGGCTTCTGCTTTCGGCGCCTCTGGGGTCAACATCGCCCCACCTATCGTCGAGAACGGCGGCAAACTTATTTCGCAGTGCACAGCGTGCGCAATGTACTTGGGCATGACATTGGGCTTCGACAAAGGCGTGGTTCCTTGCCTCGAGGTGCAATATCTGCTCGACATCGTTGACGCAGCTGAGGGAGGCATCGGCAACAACAATGATGACTCTGGTCTGCTCAAACAGTTCATGGAGGGTTGCGACGGGAAGCCTTCCCAGTGGTCGGTTCTGGCAGGAACGATCGAGCGCAACATCCAGGGGCCATATTTCTGCGGCGCAGAACCATCCTACGTCGATTCCTTCCTGCTCCAGCACACGGATTGGCGTAGAGACATGTTCGATGAGTTTCAAGCCAAGACTGGCACGGACATGTTTCGCTGATTATCCGAAGATCAAGACTGTCTTGGAGGGACTTCGTTCGCTCGACTCGTACAAGGACTACAATAGTGAGCTCTCAACCACTGCAACCTTCGATCAGAGAGTCATCGATGCGTATACTGTCTGAGCTGCAGCCACATCTTCTATCAGGAAGGCACGACGGCGAGTTGTCCGAACTTCTTGCAGAACCTCCGAGTCCCTGGTATCGAGGGAAAGTGGTTGTAGGCCTCGTCATTGTGTACCTTTCGAGAGGTCTGCTCTGGCCATGTGGTGTATACTGCATATCATATGCCTTCAGCTCCGTATCGTCAAACACGCTCGTCCTTGCAGGCTTTTCTTTCTATTACGCGCAGCGTCCTCTTGCAAGACACGCGTCTCGTTGGACTGCCATTCTGGCGAGAGCCTTCCTTGGAAAAGGATCTGCCCTGACAATCGCTGTGTGACGTGAAAGTTAAACGACGTTCACAGTCAGAGCCCCGTCTCGAAAAGGCCAACTCTCCCTCTGTATACTTGTTGCACACTGTTTGTCGTCGGGCCAAACAGTTCAAAGAAGTCTTATGCGATATTCCCCTTGTAGGAACGCATCTGCACCCCACCTTGGAGCCTGCAGGAATGTTGTGGAGCGATTGCGGGGCGTGAGTGAAAGCCCCATCACATCTTGAAACCGAGTGGCCTTATATGTTTGGACATGACGGGGTTGCTCTTGGCCGTAGCCATACGACTCACTCCTCATGCGAGACTCCCGCACCGCTCTGCGGACACGCCTGGTGCTGCGACGAGAAGGCCGTGCTCATAAGAAGGGAGGAGCGAGGACGACGCAATGACGGCGACAACGAGGATGGGGGCGGCGGCTGAGAAGGAGGGCCAGGTGGAGGAAACGGAGGAGGAGGAGAAGGAGAAGGAGGAGGAGGAGGAGAACGGCGACGAGGACGATGAGGCGGCGCGCTGCAGTGACGCATCGCTACCCATACCCTTTCCGGCGAAGCCGGCTCCGAGGCGATGCTGAAGGACGTCGCGAAGAGCGCGATCGAGAATGACACCGTGCCGTCGGAGGACCGAAACCAACGGGCCAGGCGAGGTTGGAGGATCGAGGACAATGGCATTTGGTCTCTGCCCTCAGTCCGATGCGTGGATTTTCCCCATAACCACTCCCTGGGGGATCGGCAGCTGGTTGATGTGGATGTGTCCGGGCCCCCAGGGGCCAGAATGTATCCACATCCACCGCCCGCGGGGGTCCCAGGATGTTGGTTCCAAGGCGGTGGGTACGGAGTCACCGCCTCGCATCCAGGGACCTCGAGGGAGGGGGCCGCCATGCGTCACCGTTCGCGGCGCCGCCCTCTCACTGCCCTCCGTATCCTTTCTTGATTCTCGGCTTCCTCCCGCCTTCGTCCCTCGCCGCCATCACGCCGTCGTCCTTCTCGCTCGCTCGCAGTCTCAGGACACTCGAGACAGACGCAGCCCATCCTCCTCCTCGCCGTTCTCCTCCTCAGGCGGAGGATGAGGCGGAGGAAGACGACGAGGAGGAGGAGGAGGAGGAGGGCGAGGCGGAGGACGAGGACGACGAGTAGCCCCAGACACCCGACGCCGTTCTGCTCGCACGGCGCGGTGCCCCCGTGGTCTGGAGATCTCCTCTTGCTGGCGGACCGGGCTCTCGCCCCGAGCCGTGCTTGCTTGTTGGAGCCTGGTGCGATGGCCCCGGGGTGGCCCAAAGTCGGCGGCTAGACGGAAAGTTTTGGAAGACAATCAATGGTCAGGAGGTAAATTTTTCCAATAGTTTCCAGATGTTCAGAACGTGTTTTGTACATGTTTTCTGAATTGTCAAAACGTGTTTTAACATGTTTCGGACATGTTTAAATCATGTAGGATACATTTCAAACACATGTTTGATTCAGTAATAGAACGATTGGAGTGTCCATTGTCATGGTATCCACAAACGTAAAGGGCGTGGTTCGTCGGTCCTAGAACGTAGGAGTTGTTGGATGCCCAAGCCGCAACCTACAGTAGGCGCCTTCCTACTTCAAGAGTCGAGTGGTGCTCCCTCTTCTCTCCCCCCTCTTCGGGGGGCGGGCGGCAGCCCAATCCACTTCCACGCCCTCCTCCTTGATGCTTCTACCCCCTTCTTCCGACCGACGGGTTATGGTTGCGCAGGGGTGTGGTGTGTGCGATTTGCGTCGTTGGCGCTTGGGGGGCACCACGTTACCAGTTTGAAACAGATCCCTATCCCTATGTTTGACATCACCTCACCTCGATGCCGATCTTAAGGATTCGCTCAGTTTCTGAGGGCCTATCCCTAAGATTGTCCTCGCTTGTTGCTCGCCCATCTTAAGGATAGGGATAGGTTCGAGACTGGTTAGGTGCCCTCGTCGGGCCTCGTCGGGGCGCGGCGGAGAGGATCGTCGAGGACTCCAGTCCAGGCCGCCCGGCGAGGGTCGGGATATAGAGGGGGCGTCGGCGCAGCGCGCCGCATCGTAGGTGCGTCTCCCGCGACACGGCTTGATGTGGAAACGTGTGTTCTCCACGCTGACGGCGCCAGGGAGGGTGCTGAGGAAGGGGGAGGAGGCGCAAGAGGGGGAAGAGGAGGAGGAGGAGGAGGAGGAGGAGGAGGAGGGAGGAGAGGAGGAGGAGGAGAAGGAGGAGGAGGCGGAGGAGGAGGAGGAGGAGGAGGGAGGGAGGGAGGGAGGGAGGTAACGCTGCAGCGCCGATGCATCGCCGATGCGTCGGCGCTGCAGCGTTCCCTCCTTCCCCCCCCTCTCCTCTCTCTCGGGCTCGGCGCGCCTGGCCCGTCGGGCGTGTCCCGCTCCCCCTTTTCGGCGCCCCCGTGAGAGAGAGGGGGGGTGCAATGACGAAATGGGGGAGCGGGAAGAGACAAACGGGCGACGATGATGATGATGATGATGATGATGATGATGATGATGATGATGATGATGATGCTGATGCTGATGCTGATGCTGATGCTGATGCTGATGCTGATGCTGATGCTGATGCTGATGCTGATGCTGATGGCGCTGATGATTGATGATTGACGATGACGTGTGATGATTTGTGATGATGAGGATGCTGCTGCTGATGATGATACTGCTGATGATGTTGGTCACGATGATGATGCTGGCAATGTTGCTGCTGGTGATGATGATGATGATGCTGATGCTGATGCTGATAATGATGCTGCTACTTCTGCCCATGAGGATGCTGATGATGATGAGGCTGTTGAGTACGATGCTGATGCTGCTGATGATGATGCTGGCGATGCTGATGCTTATGATGATGCTGACTATGATGATGTTGATGATCATGCTGATGCTAATGCTGATGCTAATGCTGATGATAATGCTGATGATAATGCTGATGCTGAGGTTGCTGATGCTCATGATGATGATTGTGCTGACGGTGATGATGAAGATGAAGCTGGAGATGATGATGCTGCTGCTGATGATGATGCTGCTGATGATCATGATGATGGTGCTGCTGCTGATGATGATGATGATGATGATGCTGCTGATGCTGATGATGATGACGATGATGATGATGCTGCTGCTGATGATGATGATGATGATGATGATGATGATGATGATGATGATGATGATGCTGCTGATGATGATGATGATGATGATGAATGATGTGGATGATGATTGGATGCTGATTGAGCTGATGCTGATGATGATTTCAATAATGAGGATACCGCTGCTGATGACAATGCTGATGAGAGGAGGAAGAGGACGATGAGGAGGACGGTCGAGGGATGAGAAGACGGAGGATCATGTGGAGGAGGAGCAGGGGAAGGAGGAGGAGGAAGAGGGTGGAGGAGGAGGGCCATGGATCGGGGATCAGGGCGGATACGGGAGGAGAAAGCAGAAGTGGAAGAGGAATGACGAGGCGGAGGAGGCTAAGGGAGGGAGGGGGACGATGATAATAGGTAGGATGGTGAGAAGTAGGAGGAGGAACCTGACGGGGAGGATGAAGAGGAGTAGAAGGAGGGATGATGGTGAGGGACGGGCTGGATCTCGAGTGCAATTGCTTGTCGCCAACGTTGTCTCCTGTTTTTGTTCCCTCTCCCCATCCCCCCGTCTCCCTTCCCACCTCCTTTCTCTCCACCTCGCTCCTCGTCCCCTCGCCTTCTCTCTGGGCATGACCTTTTGGGCCTTTTGTGGGCCTCCCAGGACCACTTGAACTTCATCATGACCAGCGACGTCTTCGACCACGTGGTGATGCACCCCGAGCAGTCGTACGACGCCTTCAAGCAGGTCCCCAGGGGCCTCGCCGGAGGGCTGGACGGCCTCGGGGGGGAGAATGAGGATGAGGTCCTCATCCTCCTCCCCATCCTAGACGAGGAGGTGGCCGAAGAGGAGGAGGAGGAGGAGGAGCATGAGGAGGAGCAGGAGGAGGAGGAGGAGGTTTTGCAGGCCGTAGCCCTGCCGCCGTGCCCACCTTGATGCCCTCGCGGGTCATGATGTCTCCTGCTCTCCATTTGCGCCCTCACACCAGCGGTCACGCATTTCTCTCGGGCTCAATTTGGGCTGACCGAAAGCTCTCTCAGACCATTTTGCAGAGAGCGTGGGGTGGCAAGGATGAGGCCGAGGAAGGCGTTTATGGAAAGTCATCGGAGGTTATCCCATGTGTTGTGACGTCATCGGATGCTTCTGGAGGCTTAGGAAGAGGTGCCTCACAGTATCTGCAGATGAATGGCTGTTCTCAGATGCGTCCGATCGTTTTGGGAGAGCCCAGGGAGAAGACGAGGCAGATGATGATGATGATGATGATGATGATGATGATGATGATGATGATGATGATGAGGATGCTGATGATGATGATGATGGTGATGGTGATGATGATGGTGATGGTGATGGTGATGGTGACGGTGATGGTGATGGCGATGGTGATGATGTTGATGATGTTGTTGGTGGTGATCATCAGTATGATGACGACTATGCGGCTGATGATGAGGATGCTGATGATGTTGATGCTGATGGTGCTGATGATGATGCTGCTACTGATGATGATGATGCTGATGATCATGATAATGCTGATGATGATGTTGCTGGTGTTGATGGTGATGACGACCAGGATGCGCATGAGGAGGAGCATCATAATCTTGGTCTGGGTGATGCTGGTGGTGATGATGCTGGTTCTGACGGTGCTGATGATGATAGTGCCGCTGCTGACGATGATGTCGACGCTGGTGATGAGGATGCTGATGATGGTGATGATGGTACGGCTGTTGCTACTGTAGGCGATGATGACGAGGTCGATGATTCTGGTGGTGGTATTGCTAAGTTGTATTGGCGGCAATTGTGATCATTAGGTTCATGATGCTGATTCGGAGGAAGATGATACCGACCAGCATGGTCATGATGGCTAGGACGAGGATGAGGCTGCGATGCTGATGTGGCTGTTGATAGGGGTTCGGACGATGATGACGATTTTGATGGTGCTGTCGATGAGGCTTGATATTATGATTATATTAATGACGAAGGTTCCGATACTGGCGATGATGATTCTTATCAGGCTGATGATGATAAGGATGATGATGCTTTTGATGACGACTCTGCTGATCATGATGACGAGTAGCATCATGCTGCTGCTGCTGATGCTGATGCTGATGATGGTGGTGGTGATGATGATGTTGATGTTGAGCTCTCACTCCAGAATAATCTTATGGTTGATCTCTCCCCACTGGTGCACATTGTGTGTTTTAATTGAAGTTGCCCCTCGGGGCTCGCACACGGATTTTTGTCAGGGAAAGTGTTTGTGCTCAAGCGGTGTTGTTGGCCCCCCGGCTACAGCAACAGTGGTTCCCGCTTGATATGTCCTCACAGTGTATTTCAAACTCGCGCTCTCGCCTGGGACCTCCACACAGTCTATGCAGGAAGCGCGCTCTGGCGTGGTACCTCCTTACACTTTACTGCGGCGCCGTGCCCTCGACACTCAGGAATCACGCTCTCGCTTTTTGGATTTCTTCTCGGTTTTCCTGGTAATCGAGCTATTGCTCGAAACTTCCTTGCGATTGACGTCGATTTGACGCTTCAGCGCCCCGCCCGCTGAACCCAGCCGTCTGGGCCCGCCGGCCCGTCTTTCCCGTAATGGTCCGCCCGCCTGACCAGCCCGTGCGGTTTTGCCGCTTGTGCTCTTGCGCTTGACCCCCCTCCCGCAAATCTCTCTCATTCTCCATCCTCGGAGGAGGAAAAGGTACCCATACCTATACGACCACCCTTCAGGTGATACGGAGTTTGTGTGTGTGTGTGTGGGGTGTAGAAGGGGGGGCACCAAACTATGACTCAATCGATCTCATTATCAATCTCACTCAACGGGACACCACGGGACACCACGGGATACCAGGGGACACCACGGGACATTTGCCGATCTCAGTATCGATCTCAGTATAGATCTCACTCAACGGGACACCACGGGACACAACAGGCCACCACGGGTCACCACGGGACACCGTGGGACACCTCTCAATCTCACTATCGGTCTCACTACCGATTTGACTATCGATCTCACTCAACGGGACACCATAGGACACCGCGGGACACTTGGCGATCTCACTACCGATTTGACTATCGATCTCACTCAACGGGTCACCACGGGCTACCACGGGCTACAACGGGACACCGTGAGACACCTCTCAATCTCAATATCGGTCTCACTATCGATCTCACTATCGATCTTACTCAACGGGGCACCATAGGATACCACGGGACACCTCGGGAAACCACATCGATCTCACTATCGATCACTTTATCGATCTCACTATCGATCTCACTCAACGGGACACCACGGGACACCTCGGGGCACCTGTCGCTCTCAGCATCGATCTCACAATCGATTTCATTTTTGAGACACCACGGGACACCACAGGACACCTCGGGGCACCACATCGATCTCAGGATCGATCTCACTATCGATCTCACTCAATGGGACACTACGTGACACCTGTCGCTCTCACAACCGATCTCATTATCGATCTCACTTTTTGGGACACCACGGGACACCTCGGGGCACCGCATCGATCTTGGTATCGATCTCACTATCAATCTAACTATCGATCTCACTCAACGGGACATCACGGGACACCACGGGACATCACGGGACACCACGGGACACCACGGGACACCGCGAGCCACCGCGAGCCACCGCCGGACGGACGGACGGACGGGCGGGCGGGGGAGGATCATTTGTTTTGGCTTCGCCCTAGCAACGGCGGACACCACGGTACACCACGGGACACCGCGGGACACCGCGAGGCACCGCCAGACGGGCGGGCGGGGGAGAATCATTCGTCTCGACTTCGCCCTAGCAACGGCGGGTTCTTTTCCTCTCGCGCGCCCGCCTCGCCCGCACGCAAGACACGAACGAAACGAAACGATTTCCGGGTTGGGTCTCCGTTCCACTGGGATCTCACCGCACAACCTCTGACCTCTACCCCCTCGCCCGTTCTTCCCTTTTTGGGCCTCCTGCGAGGCCCTCGTCGCCACCGCTAGATTCGCCTCGAAATTCTGATCAGAACGCACCCCGGGAGAGGTCCGGGGATTAGCGGTATCGGTACTTTATGGTTTCCTCACATCCTTCTCAATCCCCCTTGTCTCTTTCCTCCTCCCTTCCCCTGGTTTGAGGGGCTGCGCCAACTGCACCTGGCAGGTAAGGACGATATTACCCATTACCCCAGAGGGGGTACGATCGAAGACGAAGAGGCGGGTACCGAGGATGTGGGTTATTCATGTTGAGTGACACGCGAGCAAACAAGAACGAACAGTCGTACATTATTTAATGTTGTTGCTGTTGTTGTGTTTCTTCTTATTGTTGTTGTTGGGTACTCATCCTTGGAGGCTAATTATTGTTGATCCTTCCCTCTGGTGCACACTGTGCTCTTTCAATTGAAGTGCCCCCCTCGGGTCTCGCACCCAGTTTCTGTTCAGATAAAGTTTGCGGTGTTGGGTCCGAACCATTACATCAGCGGCTCCCGCCTGGTACTCCCTCACAGTGTATTCCCAAGTCGCGCTCTCGTACGGGACCTCCACACAATTTATGCAGGAATCGCGCGCTCACGTGGGACTTCCTCAGACGTTGCGCCCTCGCTTTGGCCTTTCTCACGATTTACTTGAGAGTCGCACTATCGCTTGCGATGTCCTCGCGATTCATGCTGGACTCATGCTTCAGCAACCCGCCTGCTCGACCTGGCCGCTTGGGCCCGCCTTCCTGACCCGCCCGATTTGTCTGTCTGGTTCTGCCGCGCTTTTTTGCTCCTAGTCCCCACTCCTGCAAATCTCTCACATGCTCCATCCTGCTACCTTAACCTTTCATCTGTCCTCTCATCTTTTGTTTTTGGGGCTGCACTAAATGCACGTGGCAGGTAAGGTAGGTATTTCCCCAGGGGATACGATCGAAGAAGAAGTGGGCGGGTACCGGGCGTTCGGATTTCACGTGTTGAATGGCACGCGAGCGCATAGGAGCGAGCAGTCTTAACATGATTGTTGTTATTGCTGTTGGTGTTGATCGTGTTGTTGCTGCTACTGTTGTTCTTGTTGTTGTCGTTGCTGTTGCTGTTGTTGATGTTGTTAAGGTTCTGGTTGCTGCTGTTGCTGTTCGTGTTGCTGCTGTTGCTGTTGTGGTCGTTATTGTTGTTGCTGGCCTCGTCGTCGTTGTTGTTGTTGCTGCAGCATTCTCACTTCTCAAGAACAGTTATGGTTGATCCCCCCGTCTTGTAACCATCGTACTCTTTCAATTCTAGTGCTTCTCCTGGGGCTCGCCCCCAGCTTTTTGCATTGGAAATTGAAGGGCCCCCAAACTGCGCCCCTGGCACCGGGCTTGAAACAACAGCGGTTCCAGCTTGATACGTGTATTCCCAAGTTGCAATCCCGCGCGAGGTTGCTCTACAATGTATGCTGGAATCGCGCTCTCGCACGGGGCTCCCTTGCCATTTATTCAGACGCCGCGCCCTCGACACCCAGGAATCGCGCTCGTGCTGTGGATTTATCCGGATTTATTCGGGACTCGCGCCATTGCTCGAGACTTCCTCACGATGTATGAAGAACGCACGCTTCAGCATCCCCCGTCTGCTCGACCTGGCCGCCTGGGCCCGCCTCCCCGTCTGCCCGCGAGGGTCTGCCCGCCAGATTTGCACGTGCGGTTCTGCCATGTGTTTTCTGCTCCTAGCCCCCCTCCTGCTAATTCTGTGTTCCATCCATCCTTCTCCCTCCCCTTATCCATCCCTCCTCTGTTCCCTTGCTTTGGGGGCTGCACCAAT